AAAAAGCAATTAATATGAGCAGACATACAAATCTGTTATGACATTCAATATATATTGTAAGAATCCAACAGGAAATCCAGTTGTGCCAGGTATCATAATGCTTGGTGTGTCTTCAATGATGGTAGTAGGATTTCCATCAATCTCAGGCACATCAACATGTTGAGCTGGGATGCAATGCATTATTTGCAGCATAGACATAATGTAATCCCGCTGCTTACTGCTGTCCAGTTAATGTAGATTGACTAATATCCTGAGTAGACTTTAATAACTTCAAGTCCGCCTCAGAAACCTGGGCTTTTTCATCATCATCATCATCATCATCTACATAAAGTATATATATATTGGAGTACAGTTCATGATTGTAATATGTCTCTGGGTGTTTATCATAATTAATCATGATCTCCAATAATACTGTCTGGACCACTTTTCCTGATGGCAGGACATTATAATTATTGCCAACCTGTAATAGTAAGTCAAATCATAATGCATAAATTAAAATTATAGAAAATTTAACTCTGTTATAGCAAACTCATCAATTTACACACACTATAGCCTCTGCCTTCAAATAACCATGGTTGTAGGTTGGCCTGCTTCTGTATCAACACCATGTGTAAACGGCTTCAAAATAATATTAGTAATTTCGAAGTTCCGTGGGCGACTTAACATTTATTAACTAAAAGTCAATTAAAGTCATCAAAGTCTCATTTATTATTAAACAAAATAATGTTCTTTTATACTTCATAATTCCATGACCATATCCTACATAACATATCTGATATAATATATCTGCTAACTATGACATCAGCATATGACGTAACGTTTATTACCGTATTCTTCCGAAAATAAGCAACACCCGAAAATAAGCAACACCTGCTTTACATAAGTTCCGAAAATAAGCAACACCGAAAATAAGCAACACTTCAGAATAAACAATTTACCTTTATAAATGTATTCAATTAGTTATTTTATTTTATTATTGTTATTACAATAAAAAAAATGATTAATCCGTCTCATCAATGATGTCAATGATAGTCAGTGGTATTATCGACAGAAATCACATAGTTCAGTGGGATTTTATTAAACTACCCGAAAATAAGCAACACTATAACAGAAAAGTGTTGCTTATTTTCGGAAGAATACGGTATATTGTCTTCACTATTACTCCGTCGTCATCATATTACAAATTTGTTACATTATGTCTATTATTATTATTTGTAAAGTAGTATTTATATTCATGTTAGAGCTGTGGCAGTGGATTAATATAAAACAAGAGTCACATCTAATACTAAGACCTAAAAAATTTCTGGCTTCAGGTGGGATTCTATTTTTGTCTGATTTACCCCACTGTTGACACTACCCTACCAAATACTTTGCCACTGATTCTGACAGTTTGTCAACCTAAAAGAGTTATCAAATGAGTTTTATACATAATTCAACAAATTTTTGAATATAACTATGATGTGTGATGAAAAGTAATTATTTTATTATGACATACTAATAATACTAATACACTAATAATAATGAGCAATGTGCTTGTATACTAATGTTTATATTAATATTGATTTACATTTTGAAAACTTTTTAAACAAAGTGAACATTTTGTATATTTCAATACATGATAATAATAACTAAGGATAGAATTTTTATCTCAAAATCAGCTTGCAACTTTCATCTTTTTTGATAATTAGTTTGGCGCCCGATATGACTCTTGTACTTATTCTCTTCCTCCTTATAGTCTATACTGCGATGGTCGAAGTTCTTGCCCCGCTTTCTTTTTAAAAACTGCAAATAACTCCACGACTCCATTGGACTATCGAAATAACTTTCATGTTTTTCAGTATGTGTCTTGGAGGAGGTAGACAATTGAAGACTTTCGGTTTCCATATCCATAATAATAATCCTATTTTAAGTAGAAGGGATAGGGGTTCTGTAGTCAAAATGCTATTACTATGTATATAGTCGAGAACTTATCAGTATTATTATATTATAGTGGGGTACATAATAATAAGTAGGAAAACGGAACAATATTTACCTCACACTGTCCTATTATTGTGCGCTCTCTAAATCCCCCAAATAAATCAATCCCACCATCGCCAGGCCAGGTTCATGCCTATTTATAAAATAAATGAGTACATGTATCATTATTATCAAGATATATTATCTGGTAGTCACGGCAACTTGTCGGTAACGGGGAAGAACGTTCACAGGCCATCCACCGTACGCCAAGACTGGGTACCTGACTGGCGGCTTTCACAAGCTGTGGCCAGGATGCGCTTTCAATTCTCCGATTTACACCTAGTGGGCAGCGTACCCTCAGACTCAACAAAAGACTCAGTGAAATCTTACCTAGGTCGACAGAGCTCAACACTTCTCATCCTCCTCAAAAGATTTTTGTCGCCTGCTGTGCCGTTCACGTTGTCTTCTGTGGGTTCGGCGAAACTTGTCAACTTAATTACTTGAAAGGTTGACAAGGACAAGATGTTCTCTGGACTCCGATGTCAACTTGATTACTTGAAAGGTTGACAGGGGCAAGATGTTCTCTGGACTCCGACGTCAACTTGAGTTTAACGTTTCCAGTTTTGAACTCCTTCGACTATTATAACTGCAAAGGTAGATGTAGACACTGATCCATTGGTTCAAACCTACAAGCTTTGTGGTGAAGATTTAACGATATCGGTCGGAGTCCAAAGTACATCAACCTTTCAAGTAATTTAACGTTAGTATTAGTTGATAGATTTTGATTGATAAATCATGATTTTAGGGGACGGACATTGCATATTCGTGTTACAAAATTACCCAATAGATGACCATCACATGCTGTTATTGTTTACAACCGCGACGTTTTTTGTTTACAACTGCGACGCCCTAACACTTTTATTATTATGATCATGAATAACGTTAGCGAAATAAAAGTATAAATGTAAAATATAAAATAACCACACTGTCCAGTGGCTTGCAATCAATCAAAATTTTTTGCGACCCATTGTCATCCGTAATATTATTGGTCTGAGCAATTTGCCAATTTTACAAAGTACGTCGCATTACATACAGTATTACACAAAGCGCAAACAGTCAAATACTGTCATGTACTACTATTATTCAATCATGCTATATTTTCTTCTAGTTGTTCATAATCAAGACATATTCGAGTCTTCGGCAAACTCTAATTTTGATCAAACGAAATCTCCGGTGAAAGACGGGCTTGTATTTTCTCTCTTTTGTTGTCTCGACAAATTACAGCGAGCATCAGTTTAAGTTTGTAAGAAGACAAATTTCAGTAGACGCACAATAAAGTTTCCACGTTTTATAGTATATATGCATAGTGTATTCTCGGACCAGCTTGCCCTTTGATGTGTCTACGATCACATCAGTAATCCACAACGTTTTTCAGTTCATGAAGTCTATTGTAACTTCTCAATGGTGCTTCTAATGTTGGTGCTTAGAGAGCACGTAAACCACTTGGGAAATTGGCAAATTGCTCAGGCCAATAATATTGCGGATACGTGGGGGGTTTGAAAAGTTTTGCGCGTGTGGCTCTCTTACTCGAGATTGCAATAGTTTAACTACAAATTAGAGTAATCATAAAGTGGGCATACTTTCATGTAACCAATGAAAAAAAAGTAGAGGCAAATTTATTATCTCGTTGTCGAAGAAAACTTTTTTTTATAAAGCATAGTAAAACAATTGGAAAAAAATGAGCCATAAGAACTAACGACGCTTTATCTTTGCTTCTTAGAAAAATGGCAGAAATGCGACTCAAATCTACGATAAGTTGGTGAATATAGAAAGAAAACAAATATTGTCTACCAGCGCAATTAGACGTTGGATTGTTACATTCAAACACGAATAAGAAAAAATTAGAGACAAAGGCTCGTTCTGGACG